GGTTGCAAGAGTCTTAATATCGTTTTTAGGATCGATGGTACTCTTGTTGGTTCGGAGGATTACATGTTTCTTGGGAAAGAAGCAAACTGGCTCAGCTTTGAACGAGTCAGTGGAGTTTCTATTATAGGTGGTTCTCTAGACGCTAAGGGACCATCGTTGTGGTCTTGCAAAGCTTCTTCTAGCAACAATAACTGCCCAGTTGGTGCTACTGTACGCTTATGCAAGAACTTATCAATATCTTTTGAATAAAACCCTAGATGTCTCTGACTCTTTTTGTTTTGTTTTTGTGAATGATGTAGACAATGAGTTTTGTGGAGTCGAGTAGAATCAAGGTGAAGGGGTTACTGTCATTGAATAGCCAAATGTTCCACATTGTTATCAACCGATGCCGTGATGTTAAGCTCGATGATATTAGGATCGTAGCTGATGGAAAAAGTCCAAACACAGATGGTATTCATGTTCAGCTCTCTACTGATGTTGAGATCCGTAACGCTTCCATCAAAACCGGTGACGACTGTATCTCTATTGGCCCTGGAGCCAAGAACTTGTGGGTCGAAGGAATCACATGTGGCCCTGGTCATGGAATCAGGTACTTGGCTTGGCTATACTTATAACGTACGAGTGTATACATATAATACAAGTTTCTTTTATTTAAATTGTAGCATTGGGAGCTTAGGAAAGGATAGAGAAGAAGAAGGGGTTCAAAATGTGACAGTGAAGAAGACAGTGTTTGTAGGAACAGACAATGGATTGAGAATCAAGTCATGGGCTAATCCAACATCTGGTTTTGTTCAGAGGGTTCGGTTCTTAGACTCTCTTATGTTCAATGTCAAGTTTCCTATAATTATCGACCAACACTATTGCCCTCATAACATCAACTGTCCTTCTGAGGTAACTCATACTATAGAGTATAGCTAGATATAATAAAGATGACTATATATGTAAGTAGAGGAGTTAAGCATCTCAAATTACAATTTTGTTGTTAATGATGATTCAGGAATCAGGAGTGAAAATAAACGATGTAATTTATCAAGGCATAAGAGGAACATCGGCTACTAAAGTTGCTGTGAAATTGGACTGCAGTTCTAAAACTCCATGCACACGTATTATAATGAAGGACATAAACTTGAAATATGCTAATGAAGCTGCACAATCTTCTTGTAACAATGTCCTTGGGGATAGTACTCTCGGTTTAGTCAAACCCCAAGCCTGCTTCTGATACCATTAAGGAACAATAATGATGAAAAAGACATGTAGATAATTTGAAGAAACTCAACCAAAAATTCATATTTGACCAAGTCTCTTTGATTAGATCTTCTTACCTTTGATTTAGTTGCTAAATAATAGAAAACATATCACATCATGACCTCTTTTGTCCACTTTAGTAATTGTTATTTCAAGTTTGGGAACTCTTTTTAAAAATGGTTTTAAAAGGATTTACAAGGATTTATAAAGATATTTACAAAGATTTAAAAATAGTTTTAAAGGATTTACATGGGGTTTAGAAGTTTACAAAGGTTTTTAAGGGGTTTACAAAGGTTTTTAAAGGGTTTACAAGGACTTTAAAATGGTTTTTAAGGATTTACAGGAGTTTTTAAAGGTTTTAGAAGTTTAAAAAAGTTTTTATTAAAAGATTAACCACGGTTATAAGGGGTTTAAAAGGATTTACAAGTGTTTATAAATGTTATAATATGATTTTAAAATGTTTAAAAAGGTTTACTAAAGTTTTGAAAGGTTTTGGATGACTTTTAAAAGATTTTTTTTTTGAGTTATAAAAATATTTACAAGGTTTTTTAAAAGGTTTTTAAAGGAATTGCGGAAATATTAGGGCTGAAAAATTTTGGCGGGAAATTTTTTGTCGGAAATTTTTGGCTGGAAATTTTTGAAAAGAATATTATTTTTGTTGGAAAGAATATTATTTTTTTTGTCATGGGTTATATTAAATGAGTGTAATTTAGTCATTTTATACATTGAAAAAGTATTTTTGAAAATGGATACCTAAAAAAGATATTTGTATAAAAGTGTATTATAAAAAAGATTATTTGTGCAAATGCTCCAAATATTAATTAAAAATTACGTTAATCTTATTAAATATTAAATATACTTGCGCCTAATCCATTGTATGTTAACTCATTGAACGTATTTAAAACTAGTAATAACGTATTTATTCATAGATTCAATGTATCTATGAATGTACTTATTTAAGCATATGTTGTTGATTTGGAGGCGACAAAAGGCTATAGTTATCTTTCAACTAAAGTTTTAAAATGATTCAATGTAAATTGATTCTAAAAACCAAAAAATATTGTTTGATTCTAAATAAAGAAAGTTGCGCCTGTTTTAGTCGTTTAAATTGTTTTTCTAGGAACGCCAATACATGAATTTCATTTATTAGTTTTCTTTAATCCTCCCAGAATATTAATATTTGCAACGTTAATTACTCTTGGTCTTCTATGCCATATTTTTATTTAAACTTTTTTATAACGTTTTATCGTCAATATTTTATATAAAAAACAGAGGAGAATTCTGGTTAATACCACTAAAATATCACAAAACTAAAACTTAATCCTAACTTCACTCTAAACATTATATTTTAAATATAAAATAGTCAATCAAAACCTTAAAATTAAATTCTACACTTTTAAAAACCAGTTTTTTTAATGTTTATGACATTTTTGAAAAATTAAACTGTTAATAATATTTATGGAAAAACAAATTATGATATTTTTGAAAGAAAAACTTAAGATATGGTATTGTAGAAAATTTCTAAAGAACAACGATCGAGTAAATACAAAGATAATCTAGATTACTAGTTTATAACTCAAGTAATCCATGCAGACGCGCAAGGTCTTTGTCACCTTATTATTATATTGGAAAAAGATGTCTGGATACACCAACTATAGAAAAATGCATGGTCACACATACCAAGTATTCTATTGTACACTCAGCTACACGAATTAGATGTATTGCATGGCTACATGCGTCAACTATACAACGTCATGTAGTTAACACTATAGACATAAAATTCTGATACAGCGGTCAACTGATTCTGGCGTTGTGTGACCATGTAATACATCTAATTCGTGTAGCTGAGTGTACAATAGAATATTTGGCATGTGTGACAATGCATTTTTCTATAGTTGGTGTAGCCTGACATCTTTTTTCCTTAAAAATAAAATAAAAATAAAGGATTTATGAGGAGAGTCAATAAGAGTTGTGGGAATATAAGTTGGAGTGTCAACAAAAAGAAAATCATAAATAAAATGGTTTTAGTTGAAAGCAAACAAAAAATTGTTCATAAATCAACCGAACCAAATCAATGTGAAGAATTAAAGCTTTCAGAACAAGCAATAAATTACGCGGGAAAATTAAAGTAATTTGATTCATTGCTTTGACCGAATGTCAAAAACTTGGATTCGTTCGGTTTAGAACCGTTGTGGTTAACAAGAAAGGAAATCAAAAGGACGTCAAGAATATAATATCAAACATCCCATTTCACTAAATCCAACAAGCTCATGCTCATCACACCAAAACTAAACCTAAAGCTTCACCCTTATTGATCTTGCTGAGCCCGGTCTCATGTCCTACAACCTATAGCTGAGGCCTGCGAAACCTACGGCTTCTTCCAGGTTTGGTTCTTATCAACCCTTAAACTACATGAAGATATTTAGCTTGCTTGCGAAACAAGTTAAGCTATATATGTTAATGGGCTTGTAGGTGGTGAATCATAGGATCTGAGCAGGAACATATAGAAGTGTACTGTAAGAAATTCTTTGAGCTTCCGTACGAGGAGAGATCAAAATACATGCATGTCGGCTAATTGTTTAATTTGTCCATAATTTCCATAAATTACCCTTGTCAATTTTGAAAACTATTTTCCTTTCAAACTAATCAAGGGTAATTTTTGGAATTGAAACTAATTTTTAACTATGATTAAATGTGTACTTCTCTTTTAATTATAAGAAGATGGATTCTCTCATATATTATTATATATGTAAACCTTTCAATGGCTTTGCCAAAGCATAGAGTATTTCTGTTGTACCGAAACTCTTCGGATTTGCTTCACACCCCTAGCTCACTCCAAAACGATGCCTCGCCAAGTGTCCACCTCTGTGAAAAGGAGCACCACCCTCTCTATAGATGTTTCTTGGTTGATGATGCGATCATGATGCATGTCCTATACATATAGTATATATGTCAAGTTGTTTTTAATCAGAAATTAACTCTCTCTTCTTGTTTTTTTTTTTTTTTGGGGTGTAAGACCTTTTGAGTTGAACCGCACGTATGGCTCTTCGAATAATAGTAATTTACTCATTTATGTGTTTATTTTGGCTGTGGAAAAATGTGATGACGAAAACCAAGTTTTCATGTTGGCATGTTTCTTTTGGTTTGGTAATCCTTACGTTTGAGAATTGTATTAATAATAAAACGAAGTTATCTGAACCTGAATTGCAAAAGCCGACTGTTTCCATCTATTATATATATACTCGGCCACTGTAAGAAAATGGAGAAAGTGATGGTTATAAAGTGTTTACAATGGACAAGGCCACAATGCCTAAATGAGGTGAACGTAGAGTCATTGTCTCCTGGTTCTAATGAGTATTTTCAGTTGGGTCCGAATTTCCCAAATACATTTCTAGGAAGATTGTTAGAGATAGTTTAGAATTTGGTAGTATACAATTCTAGAACGACATAACATGAGAAAACAGGTTGAAGCTTTTTCTTGTGGAGAAAGATACCAAACCGTGTTTACCATAAAGACATTTACCAAGGATGTCTATGGTTAATCTGTCATAGTATGTTGAATAGATTGGATTGAATTACTATGTTAACACTCTATTCTTTGGGTTCAGTTCATTCAAAGTTAATCAAGAAAAACTAAAAGCCAACAAACAGAGGATTCATAATGACCTAAGATAAAAAGAAGAAGCTGGTCTTACATAAGAAGTTAGTCTTAATAGACTACTTGCATAAACAAGCCATAAGGTAAGCTCTAAAGGCTAAAGCCACTCCTCACCATCGATGAAGGAGATGTTGGTGAAAGGAGCCGCTTCCACATCGGTGAGTTGCTTCCCATAGGGAACTCTTCCACTATGATTGGCTCCCGGTCCGTAGCACCGATGTTCTCCGAAGTAAACCGTCTTTTGCGTCTTGTGATCTTTCATGTCATTCCATCCTTCATTCGACACAACTTGAGACATGTAGGTCTTGGAGAAAACAACACGCGCATAAGGTCTCCATGCACGTCCAAGCCACACCTTCCCGGTTCCGTCTATCCTACAATTGACAAAAGAAAAGCCTGTCTTCTCATCTTCCAATTCCTTTCCATGAGCTGTGATACATCCGCTCATTCCCGATGCACTCTCTTTTGCTATCGAGTGAATAATACAGTCCTGCTAACAAAATCAATGTGTTAAGTCGTATTTAAAATTTCTATCATGTTTGTCTTTAATATTTACCTGGTAGATTGATCTTCCATTACCAAAGATGATATATATGGATCCTTGAATAAAACAATGTTTAAAGAAATGGCGTCCTCGGTTATCTAAGAGTGTATCTTGTGCACCGTAGAAGCCACAACCGTAAAAGGCGGCTTGGTCCCCATCAATCCGCAAAGCAACCGCCTGAGCACCTATCATACCTGGATCAGGTTCCGGTGCGTAGTTCTTTTCCCATCAAACAAAATATATATATATATATTAGAACTCTTAAACGAATGAGTTTCACAAAATAATTGATTGTTGATGATGGCTCTACCTTAAAGCTAATGTTGTAAGCCACAAAGTTAGTTGAAAATATAGCAAACGAGTAGCTATTGGCAGTGCTTCCTGAAGAATTAGCGGTGTCATTCCATTCAATAATAGTGCTCTCAAAACCAGTTCCTTGCAGTACAATGTTCCTTTCCCTTTCACTAATGATAACCTTTTCTCTGTTTTGTTTTTGCAAGAAACCTAATATTACTACAAGAGAAATAACAAGAAAAACAAAAAAATACTAGTTTGTATAGAATATATACCTGTAGACACCAGCTTTGACATGGATGAGGATCTTGGACTTGCTTAAATCAGGGACAGAGTTTACAGCTTCCTGGACAGTAATGAAACTTCCCGAGCCCTTCACGTCAACGACTAACACCAGAGAGAAGCCAGCTGAGACAGTTGAAATTTCATAGAGAGACGTAATGGAGGAGAGAAGGGAAATGAAGATGATGATCTTAAGATTGATCATGATCAAAGGTGATGAAAAAGTAAAAAACAGAGAGAAAAGCTTTAGTTTAGCAAACTGATGAAAGAAGCGAGAGAAGGGGTTTAAATTAGTGAGGGATATATGTAAATTATAGTAAATTCAATGCATTACAAAATAAGACAAACACTAGGATTTACCCCGTGCTACACCACGGGTCCATAATTTAATATATTTCTTTGGTTGATCATTTTCGTAGTTGATTTATATAATTTAGGTTTGTATATGTTTATTTTATTTAATTTAATATAATTTTATAAATTTGTATTATAAGTAAATTCATAGATATATCTGGTAAACCCGCTGTACATCGCGAGACAATTTTGTTGTAAATAAAAAATTATATTTTAACTTAACCCGTAAAAGATTTTAAATATAGACAACCCGCAGAAAAATATAATCATATTTATGTAAACTAAAACCCGTTCAAGCATATTATGTCCAATATTATTATATTTTAAATATTTGTAGAGTTAAAATATTAGTAATACTTTTAATTTTTGTTGAGTTTAAATATTTTTCATTATTTTAATATTCTATAAAAATTAAATA